TGATATTTTCACCAAAATTGCTGAAATATGTAAGGACTATAGTCTTACCTTCATGTGAATTTTGAAACTTTCTTAAATTGTCTTACATTTCATACAAAAACACGTAAAATTATTAGAAAATGTGTCCACGTATTGTCTTATGTCTAATATGTTGTAATTCTTCTTGAAAATAATCTTTCAATCATACACCATACCCATGACTACCTAAAGTTATAGGTTTATATTTAAAAAAAATCAGCTTTATTATAATTAAAATTTATTGAACTTGTCACAGCACTATTCATACAAGCACTTAACATCCAAATAAAGTGTAAAAATCACCTGATATTTTTCACCAAAATTGCTGAAATATGTAAGACTATGGTCTTACCTTCATGAGAATTTTGAACTTTTCTTAAATTGTCTTAAATTTCATAAAAATACACATAAAATTATTAGAAAATGTGTCCACGTATTGTATTATGTCTAATATGTTGTTAATTCTTCTTGGAAATAAAATTTCAATCATACACCATACCCATGACTACCTAAAGGTATAGGTTTATATTCACGAAAAATTCAGCTTATTAGAGTTAAAAATCATTCAAACAGTCACAACACTATTCATACAAGCATTTAACATCCAAACAAAGTATAAAAATCACCTGATATTTTTCACCAAAATTGTTGAAATATGTAAGACTATAGTCTTACCTTCATGTGAATTTTGAACTTTTCTTAAATTGTCTTACATTCATACAAAAACACATAAAATTATTAGAAAATGTGTCCACGTATTGTCTTATGTCTAATATGTTGTTAATTCTTCTTGAAAATAATATTTCAATCATACACCATACCCATGACTACCTAAAGGTATAGGTTTATATTCACGAAAAATTCAGCTTTATTAGAGTTAAAAATCATTCAAACCAGTCACAACACTATTCATACAAGCATTTAACATCCAAATAAAGTGTAAAAATTACCTGATATTTTTCACCAAAATTGCTGAAATATGTAAGACTATAGTCTTACCTTCATGAGCATGTTTGAACTTTTCTTAAATTGTCTTATATTTCATAGAAAAACACATAAAAATGTTAGAAAATATCTCCATATGTTGCACTGTCTAATTTGTGTGAAGCTTATTGAAAATAATCTTTCAATCATACACCATACCCATGACTACCTAAAGTTATAGGTTTATATTTACAAAAAAATCAGCTATGTTATAATTAAAAATCATTGAAACTTGTCACAGCACTATTCATACAAGCATTTAACATCCAAATAAAGTGCAAAAATCACCTGATATTTTCATCAAAATTGTTGAAATATATAAGACTGTAGCCTAACCTTCATGAGCATTTTTTGAACTTTTCTTAAATTGTCTACATTTCATACAAAATCACATATAAAATTATTAGAAAATGTCTCCACATGTAGTATTATGACTAATATGTTGTTAATTCTTCTTGGAAATAAAATTTCAATCATACACCATACCCATGACTACCTAAAGTTATAGGTTCATATTTACAAAATTCCACAGTATCATAGTTAAAAATCATTGAAACATGTCACAGCACTCTCTTACAAGCATTTAACATCCAAAATAAAGTGTAAAAAATCACCTGATATTTTCATCAAAATTACTGAAATATGTAAGACTATAGACTTACTTTCATGTGAATTTTCAATCTTTCTTAAATGTCCTACATTTCATACAAAAACACATAAAATTATTAGAAAATGTGTCCACGTATTGTCTTATGTCTAATATGTTATTAATTCTTCTTGAAAATAATCTTTCAATCATACACCATACCCATGACTACCAAATGTTGTAGGTTTATACTTACAAAAATTCAGCTTTATTATAATTAAATTTATTGAAACTTGTCACAGCACTATTCATACAAGCATTAACATCCAAATAAAGTGTAAAAATCACCTGATATTTTTCACCAAAATTGCTGAAATATGTAAGACTATAGTCTTACCTTCATGTGAATTTTTGAACTTTTACATTTCATACAAAAACACATAAAATTATTAGAAAATGTGTCCACGTATTGTCTTATGTCTAATATGTTGTTAATTCTCTTGAAAATAATATTTCAATCATACACCATACCCATGACTACCTAAAGGTATAGGTTTATATTCACGAAAAATTCAGCTTTATTAGAGTTAAAAATCATTGAAACCAGTCACAACACTATTCATACAAGCATTTAACATCCAAATAAAGTGTAAAAATCACCTGATATTTTCACCAAAAATTGTTGAAATATGTAAGACTATAGACTTACTTTCATGTGAATTTTCAATCTTTTCTTAAATTGTCTTACATTTCATAGAAAAACACATAAAACTGTTAAAAAATGTCTCTACATGTTGTGTTTTGTCTAACATGTTGTTAATTCTTCTTGGAAAATAATCTTTGAATCATACACCATACCCATGACTACCTAAAGTTATAGGTTTATATTTACAAAAAATCAGCTTTATTATAATTAAAATTTATTGAAACTTGTCACAGCACTATTCATACAAGCATTTAACATCCAAATAAAGTGTAAAAATCACCTGATATTTTTCACCAAAATTGTTGAAATATGTAAAACTATAGTCTTACCTTCATGTGAATTTTTGAACTTTTCTTAAATTGTCTTACATTTCATACAAAAACACATAAAATTATTAGAAAATGTGTCCACGTATTGTCTTATGTCTAATATGTTGTTAATTCTTCTTGAAAATAATATTTCAATCATACACCATACCCATGACTACCTAAAGTATAGGTTTATATTCACGAAAAATTCAGCTTTATTAGAATTAAAAATCATTGAAACCAGTCACAACACTATCATACAAGCATTTAACATCCAAATAAAGTGTAAAAATCACCTGATATTTTTCACCAAAATTGTTGAAATATGTAAGACTATAGTCTTACCTTCATGTGAATTTTGAACTTTTCTTAAATTGTCTTACATTTCATACAGAAACACATAAAATTATTAGAAAATGTGTCCACGTATTGTCTTATGTCTAATATGTTGTTAATTCTTCTGAAAATAATATTTCAATCATACACCATACCCATGACTACCTAAAGGTATAGGTTTATATTCACGAAAAATTCAGCTTTATTAGAGTTAAAAATCATTGAAACCAGTCACAACACTATTCATACAAGCATTTAACATCCAAATAAAGTGTAAAAATCACCTGATATTTTTCACCAAAATTGTTGAAATATGTAAGACTATAGACTTACTTTCATGTGAATTTTCAATCTTTCTTAATTGTCTTACATTTCATAGAAAAACACATAAAACTGTTAAAAAATGTCTCTACATGTTGT